AGTAGAATAAGACAAATAAGTTACCAATCATATGAAATTTGTATTAATAAAAATTCATTTGTACAGAGGTGGCACAGAACACAAAACGTTTAATGAGGCTCAAAGGTGGCATGAGTGCAATCAAATTCATACATTCATGTGGAGATTAATGTTTTAAATATACAATTTTGAATACAGAAATATTAAATGATTTAAATAAGTGAAATTATACGCAAAAAATTAAACTAAATCCACCAGCAGGTGGCGGCAATTCACTGATTTTATCACTGAATCATTCATTCAATTGATTTGTTCAAACTGCTGATTCATTCAGGAATGAAGCAAGTGACTGTCTTTATGAATGGGTAATCATGAATCACTGACTCACTAGATTTGTTCAAAAACACACTTTCATTGAATGAATGAAACTCAGCTGTGTTTGCTTCCAGATGCGCAGCAGCTGAGCTGCTACTATATTTGGAATTATTTTAGTTGAAGAAAGAGCAAAATCAGGCAGTACTTGTTTATTGAACTGTTGTATTAAATCAATATCACATTTGCAAACTCCCTTAATAACTATTAAAAGTTGTCACTCTCCTTATCGCGATCTGTGGGCACACAGAAAATAAGAGCGCGCGAGTGAGTTCTCAAGACTCAAAAGCACGTGCAAATGATATGTTCTGTCATCTGTCATCACGTTATAAGCGCGGCACCTGCGGGAATAAGACAAAGTCCCTTTAAGGGCATTCTATAGTCTTTGGAATGAGTAGAATTGTTATTAATAGCCGCAATCCCGTGCCGAACTTCAAGTTCTGCTCTGTGTTCTCTGCTAATAACCCGACTGTGAATGATGCGAGCGGCATCACTATGTTGTCACTGAGAAGCTGCAGGATGATTTTTGGTGTGCCAGTGTTCTGACAAATAATGCTACCTATCAGATTACGCTACCAACACTGTATTTATCCTACTGAAAGGGTAGGTTTAGGGTTGGGGTAGGTGTACATGTTAATAAAGCCTCGCACCTTATTAATATCATGCTGGAAGCAAAATCTGATAGGTAGCCCTTTTCGCTATCGAATTATGCTACCATCTGTTTTAATGGGAGGTAGCAAAATCTGACAGGGTAGCACACCGGCAGAACAACAACAACAAAGCGCTACATGTTTCTTTTCCCCTCATTTTTTCCAATTGACGGAAATCTGTCATAGACTTGCTGCAATTAACGGAAATCCGTCGTAGCGACGGAGAACTTTAATCCCTGTTAACTACTTTTAATATACTGAAAAGTTTTTTTGTTTTTTTTTTGCCTTTTTGCCCTTTTTTGAGCTTGAGAGACAGAATCACCACCCACTCCCATTTAAAGGGAATGAACTGAGGAAGCATAATTGCCTTGTTCTTTTGACATAGGCTATAAGAGGTCATTGTACTACAAAAACATCCTGTAAGTTAACTCAAAACTTTCTCATTAGTCTAAAAAAAAAAGCCAGTTCTATCAAACCTCTATTATATAGTGTTTGTGTGTGTGTGTGTGTGTGTGTGTGTAATATCACACACCTCCAGCTCCTGCTCCCTCTGCAATGCAAACTGTTTGAATGACTTGACAATGATCCCTGCATTCGAGCAGTCGTACACGAAGATGGAGGGACTTCCCATCCACGTCTGTAGGTCATAGATGGAGAGTGGGATGTACTGTGTGTAGTTCTGAAAGAGAGAGAGAATGAAAGATATTATTTTTGACCAGTGGCGATTAAAGCTTGCATGGTGCCGTGAGCGAACCACCCCATCTGCCACCCCTAAATAAGATTTGCTTGTATATATGTAACCCTGGACCACAAAACCAGTCATAAGTCGCACTGGTATATTTGTAGCAATAGCCAAAAATAAATTTTATGGATCAAAATTATCGATCAGTTCTGGCTGACACAGGGATATCTTTGATTCTAAATTTGATAGTGACTTTGTTAGGCAAGCCATCAAATAAAACCTCTGTGCTAGAGACAAAATGATCCTTGATGTATTCTCTCTGTCAGTGAATGGCTTACTTGTTTCGCAATGCAATGAGCAATTCGGTAACAATTCAGTAGCATTATTTTTAGGTCTAACAAAAACATGGAGAGTGCTGGTTTGCTTTTCATAATAGGACACTGCGCATCTGATGGACTCTGCCCTGTCTACCTGATCTTTAAAGGATTTCTCGTGTTTAGTTTCAAAGTGGCGCTTAACATTTTCTAAACATAAAGTGCAAACAGCATGGTCTTTTTGAAAAATAAAATCATATTCTTCTCTCCAAGATGGCTCAAATAAACGAACGTCAATTTTTGCTTTCTTTTGTGTCGCCATTGTCAACTGCGCCTGGATTTCAGTACCGCGGTGAGCGCAAACTGCACACTCAAACTGTACACGTGACGACGTCTACAGCACAGTGAAAGCTATAACTAATTAAATATGTAAAGTTTATTAAGGATTATTAGGTTATTTTTCACACGAATCCGACCAGGACATTTCTTGAAAAACAAATAATATTAATTTTGTAACCAAATATAGCATTCATCTGCATGTGCTTGGCTTGCCATTGATTTTCCCTCAGCGTGCCAAAAATGGGACGTGTGTCTGGTTGCCGACCCCTGATATACTGTACAGCAAAAGCATTAATAAAGTGAGTGATATTACATTTGTTTAAAAAAAATACATTCTATATTACAAAATCACATTTTACTGTCTGGTTATGTAAGCTAGTTGGTCAGACAAAGGAATGCTGCTGCTCTATGTATAATTGCATAGCATAAGTGATATATAAGCAATTATACATATCATATCTGCATAGATAGCGTTTATCTTTTCACATTTCGCCTCTTCTTTTTTTCCCAATTTGGACTCCTGATGGCTTACCTTCCAACTCTCCCTGATTAAGTCACTTTAGTGAAACTGACTTGAAATAAAAAATAAAAATGAAATAAAGTGAATAACGTGAAAAAGAAAAGTGTCGTTGCGGCATTAAATTTAGACCTGCCCATGCTGCATATTTCTTTTTATGCATTTATTTTAACAGTGGCACACATTATAACCAATCACAAACGATTATGTTTGAGCTTATGAATGCAGTGGCCAATCAGAGGTGTTCAGAGGAGTCATTGCTGAAACGCTTGTTTTGTTCAATGTGTGCGCTCGCTGACTGAATTTTGCACTCTCGCGAATTCTCACATCAGAAACAACCAAGTGCAGATGTACGTGCGATGCAAGCAAGAGATTCATTTCACAGTGTAGACAGCTTCAGTGATTATAATGTGAGTTTTTTTGAGAGTGCTTAAATGCGCGCTAGACTTAAGTCATTGATCATGTTCTATATGATCAATTAAATGTTCTTTGTTCGATTTCTGTATATAATGTATTCGCTGTTTGAATAACAACAAAATGAAAGCATAACTTACAGTGTTTTTATTCAATTAATTTGTGATCATCTTACAAATTCAGCAGTATTAAAAATATTTTATGACACGACACCCGTATTTGCTACTCGCAGACTTGTTTGTAATGTGCATAGTAAGGCTAAACATAAGTCTACTGGGCGCACACACAGAGTCCCGTCCAGGTTAATTGACCCACATGGTGACACCATATTTTATAAAAAAAAAAAAAAAAACTGATCACGTATTCTGCTTTTTTTTCTTGTGCAGGCACCCCGTTCCGCCCCTGGCAAGATGCCGTTCTAAGCGGTTGCCCATGTCGCCCATACTTAAATCTGTCACTGTTTTTGACAACTCAACAACTCAGTTCATGCCCAAAACTAACTCATTAAATTCATTTTAATTTAAGAACTTAAGGAGAGTACAAGAGTACAAACTACTGTGGTTAACTGCTGTGCAGAGAGATTGAAATAAGTTTACTATTCAGCACTGCTCACTAAACCCATTTTTTCCTGGTTCTTTTTACCTTACCTTGTTGAAGACCCAGATCTCTCCATTGACAGTGGGTCGAGGCACTCCATGGCCATTATAATGAAAGAGAACACGTTCCTCCTTGGCATTTCTCCGCAGTGAAGTACACAATTTCTTCACCTCGTCAACTGTAGGATCCAAACTCTGCTTATAGCGGGCCTGGAAGAGAGAGGATATTAGATAACAATGACATCCAGTGAAAACATTAATGAAGGAGTATGTCAGTGCAGCTCTCAAAATATCTGAGAACTCCAGATATAATATAAAAATGAGCATTAAAACAGATTGAAAGTCATCAACCCTTACAAATTAATCTACTTTAAAGTAAACAGTACAGAAAATCTGCTATTTTCAGGCCATTTTCAAGATTATTTGTATTGATAAATGTGCACACTTGACTGAAGAATTAAAAAAAAGAGATAAAAAGAGATCTAAATATTTTTTTCTCCCCGTTTTAATATATATGCATTTTATTTAATATGTATATTTTTTATTTCAGTTAAATGGATAGAGAGAAGTAGAGTTCGTTTGTGTGCTGTATGCACTGCTACAGTCGCTTTCCACAACGAATAAAAGAAATAAATAAATACTTCAGTACCTGATTACCAAAAATTACAACACTCATGAATAAAATGACATTTTTGCTCAGTGATTCCAATACACCCCTGCGGTGAGCTACTTGAACTGGTGGGAGCAAAATTGGCCATGGCAAAAACTGGTGTACACTAGGGGTGTAACGGTACACAAACATGACGTGTCGGTACGTACCTCGGTTTTGAGGTCACAGTTTGGTATGGTTTTGGTTCAGCAGGAGAGGGAAAACTAAACATAAAATTGCTTTTTTAAAAATGTTTTTATTAAACAGTGATTTACTGAACAGACTGTTCTTTCTTTAAATAATTTCTAATTTTCTTAGGAATAAAAATCTACCCCAGTTTATGCTCTAAACTGTAGGGAGCCTTTTGACATTACTATAAGGTAAAGAAAAAATAAAAATAAAAAAATAAAAAATTAACAACAAAGCCCAAACTTAAATTTAATAACTATTTATTTTTAAATATAATAATCAACACTTAAATTAAAAAAAAAATTGTATGCAAACATGTAAATTGCACATAATGCAGTTTTAAATTAACTTCTAAATTACAAAATTTATAGCCTATATGTTGTTGAAATATTCATTTACACATTGGCTGTCATAACTTGTTTCATAACAGATTTATTTAAACATAAAATAATAAGACACCTCTGATAGGTAAAGTAAAATATAATGAGTATACGAAATGCTCTCCAGACTTAATTTCTCTAGCATACTAGCTGGCTGTGGACACTAATGACTTGCCTGAGGTAAATAAATTGCTACGTGTCAAGCTGTTTTATTGATGTCTTTTCGCGGTTGAAACACTGATTGAGCGATTACATGAGGCATGCAATGTTTATTTCATGTTAAAACTAGTAGTAAAGAGGAAGGAATGATAATTTGTAATTTATTTATGATAATTTATTTACTCTCCATTTATGACTGTTTGTGCTACTGCTGCTGTGTGTGTGTGTGTGTGAACAGAGAGTATGGATAATAAGAAGAGAAGGGAATGACTGTAAAAGCAGGACAAAAAAAAGTTAAAATTAGGAAATATAAATACCCAGTTAAATATGTGACTATTATTCACTGCACTGACAGATCTATCTAACATTATGTTTATATTACTCTTATTTTATTTATTTATTTTTAATTTTGCCCAAGAACATTTATTTAATATGAAGTTTACACTTCACTGGTGTGGCTCAAAATCTCAGAAGAACTACAAACTTTATAACAATGGAATAATACAATAGAAATTTGATCATCACAGAGGAGGCAAAAATTGTATGTGCCATGTGTGAGAAAGGGAGAATGATGCAATGTGAAACGCCTCATTCTTTCACTGTCCTCTCCAGCTGGTGTAAGCATTTGTGTGTGTGTGTGTGTGTGTGTGTGTGTGTGTGTGGTATTACATAACTCCGAGTGAATGAGAGATAGTGTTTGGGAGAGTGTTAAGGAATTGTGTTTAGAGCTGTTTATATCACAGCCTCATGTCCCGACATACACTACAGGTCAGTGGACTGTTGTGTGAGTGTGTGTAGATTTTGCCTAGATTGGAGGGACCAGATGCCTCCACAAGGATAGGCAATTGTGAAATCACCTACAATGTTGGGCCAGCACGAACCCCCCACCCCCACCCGCCACTAAATAATGTGTTAATGAAAATGTAAAAAGGTTTTGTGAGGGTTAGGGGATAGAAAATAACTCATGATCAAGCTGAGTTAATGTCTTAGATAAGGACTTTACAACTGAGGACCGGAAGTCCTTCAGCATCCAAGTCAGACATGCCCATTCTTAGAGAGACCAAATGTTGTCCTCCATCTGGCACAGAAATAAAACAAACAAGATGATGTGGAGACATCACACTACCCAATCATTTAGTGGTAGGCCTTTCCATTACTTAGGGTGATGATACACAGGACAACTTTTTGAGCAACTTTGCCGGGCAACTTTTTTTGAGCAGTGTTGCTTGGGCACTTTCCCACTGAGAATGGGTAGCACATTTCTATCTAGATAATTTGGTCGTGGGCCCTGGTTGTCCGGCAACATTGCTCAAAAAAGTTGCCCTATGTATCATCAGCCTTATAATATCAGATGTGTAATAAATTCAGTGGTCCACTCCAAAGACAATTATTCTGCTTATCCATAGTTAACCATTTTCAGGTATGTCCTTAAAACACTCCTCTGTGAAGAACTATTTTCTTATGCCATCCATTAAGCATCTTGCTACAAACACCGCGAGCTATCATTACTAGGGCTTGCAGTGACTAAACAATCTATCACCATTCAATGTTGTCCTCTAATTAGATTGAAAAACCGGCATTCCATGAGTCTTGACTTTTTTCATTTGTTTCACTGATTGCCTGTGTTCCACACAGGCTGCCATCTGTGTGATGCTCGGAGACACACAACGGTTGATCCTGCTTTGGCTTCTTTTGGAATTATTTTCATTGACAGAGCAACAATAAACAATAAACAATAGAAACAATATAATATGTCCATATTGTGGCTAAAATGTAAACTATTATTTTGCTTATTTGGTGTAATGAAATGTGTTTATGCGGTTTAAGGTTCAAAAAACACATTATTTTCCACATACTGTACATTATTGTTTCTCCTCTATGCCCCACCTTTCTGAAACGCATCGATTTTTACAAAGCTCATCGTTCTGAAAAGCGAGGTGTGCTCTGATTGGCCAGCTATCCAGTGCATTGTGATTGGCTGAATACCTCAAGCGTGTGAAGGAAATGTTACGCCCCTTACCATACTGTGATGCCGTGTTCCGGTGCGACGAGACAAAACCAATAAAACCCATTACAAACAAGGCATTTGTAGCATCCAGTGGGGACATAATTACTGATTATAATGATTTATACTGTCTTTTTACGCGTATACTTACAGGCTGAGAGTCTATTCAGACTAATTTAGTTAACATCAAAACACCAGCTAATGTGAATTCACGTTGTATTCATAACCAAATCTAATGAAGTCCACAGGAATGCACATAACTACACAAAGATCTCTAGATTTCAATCACAAAGTTTTACACATTTATACATCTTGCATGTTTATTTAATATTTCATCAAATCTAAGTATGAGTGTAGTACTATCATCAAAAAAAAGTCTGCAGATTCTGTCTGGGTCCTATTATATGCTTTTGAATATGAGATTTAGCCACTCCATTGTGGGAATGTTCAAAGATCACAGTGGGGTGAAAAGCTGGGTAATTGTGCAGCACTTGGAACAAATCAAATCACTCATTAAAAGCACTTTAGCTATGGAGCTTATAATATGACAAAGCTAATTGAATTTGTATTGTGTAAATTTTAATTACTGACAAGTGTCATTTAACAAAACTGAATATTATGTGGCATTTAACATACAGTCATGGCCAGAAGTTTTGGCAGTGACATAAATTTTGTGTTTTGCAAAGTTTGCTGCTTCAGTATTTGTAGATTATTTTACCACATGTTTCTATGGTATACTGAAAAACAATGCATATCATAAGTTTTAAAGGCTTTTATTGGCAAAAAATATAATGAGTCAATATTTTTGTTGATCCTTGTTCTTCATAACCTCTGCAATTCGCTCTGGCATGCTGGATATTAGCTTCTGGGCCAAATCCTGACTGATGGCGAGCCATTCTTGCCTTATTAGTTCTCATGCCTTATTAGTTCTCAGTTGATCACAATTTGTGGGCTTCTGCTTGTCCACTCGCCTTTTAAGGACTGACCACAGGTTCTCTATGGGATTGAGATCTGGGGAGTTGCCTGGCCACGGATCCAAAATTTCAATGTAATGATCTTCGAGCCACTTCTTTATCACTCTTGCTTTGTGACATGATGCTCCCTCATGCTGGAAAATGCACGGATCATCACCAAATTGCTCATGGATCGTTGGAAGAAGTCGCTCTTGCAGGACGTTTTGATACCATTCTTTATTCATGGCAGTGTTTTTGGGCAGAATTATGAGAGAGCCCACTCCCTTGGTTGAAAAGCATCTCCACACATGGTCTCAGCATGCTTCACTGTTGGCACAACACATGACTCATGGTAGCGTTCACTTTTTCTTCTCCGAACAATCGATTTTCCAGATGTCCCAAACAGTCGGAAGGGAGCCTTCATCAGAGAAATAAGTTTGCACCAGTCTTCTGCTGTCCAATCCTTCTTGACGTTGTTCTTGGAGAGAAGTGGCTTCTTTGCTGCCCTTCTTGACACCAGGCCGTTGTCCAAAAGTCTTGGCCTCACTGTGCATGCAGATGCTCTCACACCAACCTGCTGCCATTCCTGAGCAAGCTCTGCACTGGTGGTGACACGATTCCGTAGGAGGAGGATGGTCTTGGCACTTGCTGGACACTCTGGGACGTCCTGAGGACTTCTTCACTGCAGTCGAACCTCTCTCCTTGAAGTTCTTGATGATCCGGTAAATGGTTCAACAACACAATGATTGGAAGTGCTTCTTCCCTCCTTTTTTGCAATCAGTCTGCTCTTACAATCTATTTAGTATGATAGTGATTTTACCTGACTAGTACTCATTCGCATTTTCAATGATTAGTCAATTAATGTTAGCTGGTCA